GAGGCGCCGCGTTACCACATTCAACCCAATTGTTTAGACAGCGTTATCTAACTCAAAAAGTTAATTTTGCTAGAAATTAAATTAGGTCGCAAAATGTAAAGTAATCTTTCTCGAAGGCAGGCCGTCCAGCCAGTAGTGCTGGTTGCCGAGAAACTAATTACTCTGTTTAGCACTAATAGTACAGTCATTAATCCGATTATGCGCTCCAAGATGTCGAACATTTACGCGCGTTCCAGCCGCGTGATACGGACTTGGAAGTTGGAATGCGCGCCAAATTTTTCGTTGTAACCAAAGATTTAAAAATCTTTGGTTGGAACATGCTCATAGCTCGTCTACACGATGGGCCATCGCGATGGCCCACTATGATGGGCCAGCGCCCAGCGTGTGGAGGGCGTAGTTGTGTCGGATGGGTTGTGGCGCGTGCGATGGATGGTCTTGGGGATAGCGACGGTGGCGGTTTTTCCGCCGCACATCAAAGATAGTGGGCCAGCGATAGCAGTACGCATCTACATGTGGCCCATTCCACAGTCGTGCGCGCTCGACGGTGTGTGGTGAGTGTGGACACTCGTGTTTTGTTTATTAATATATAATATATATTGTTTATAATAATAATTAATGAATTAAAAATGACGAATATGTTGCCTCATAATGAAGTTATAACATTTTGGAGGAGCTATCAAAAGTGGAGCAAGCCATTCCATCTGTTGTCGGTTTTTTACCGCGTATCAAAGTAGTTAAGATTTGGCGCGCGCGCCGGTTGGGACGGTCGATTTTTATCATTCGTGTGCTCGTTGCGTTTATTTATTCTGTTGTTGCCTTCCGAGCTGTGAACAACCGAAGTTGCCGCAAAACGATGAAGTTATATGAAGTTATATGGTTCAAAAGAACTGGTCTTTTTATCATAATAAAGCGCTCAGAGAAGGTGCATGGAGAGAACTATGATAGTGGTAGCTGCTCGTACACGATGGACATTTTTATATATAATAAGGGTGACAAACGAGCACACAGTTCATTAGATGGTAAGTGGATACTGTGGACCAGAGACATCTACATCTATCCTCGATTAAGAAACAAAATGCAGATGCGCTGTCACCTCTGAAGACTAAGATGCCTCGTGTTCAGCAACAGGGTCTCCGCTTCTCTACACTCACCTTACGAAACACAGCAGCTTGAACTGCTATTTTACGCTGGTATTCTGTCAGAGTGTGGTCCTTCCCTGGGCGTGACGACCCACTCACGTTACAACTTTAATATAGTTGCAGCTTGGTTTTACCACGTGTAGTAACACGTCACATAAAATGCCGAGACTAAACACTTTAAATCTAACACAGTACGAAAAAAAGAAACAGAGTAATTAAATTGCCTAAAATAAGTCTTCTAGTTAAAAAATATTTATAAGTCATTAAAAAGAGTACCAAGCTGTATTTAGTAGCAACACAAATGGGTCGCCTAAACCGTGGAAGTACCACGCTTGTGATGAGAAATGAGTAACATTGGCGGTAATCGTAGTAGGCTCCATGTATATAAATATGCATTTGCATACTGTTCTGCGTCTTCGTATTATGTTAACCCCTATACAACGAGAAGAATAATAAAGTGAATTTTAAATAGGTATATGGCCCGCTTTAACAGATACAATTTTTTTCTATATAAATAGCAAAAGTGAACGGGGTAAAGGCTTAAGCTTGGGCATTCCCGTCGCTTCTTCGTAAAGTTGAAGGGTTCGCAGCGCTACTTCAAGAGCGCTCCACTCTAATGATTTCTTATATTTACGCGAACACTACACATTGAAATAATACTAGATTTTGCGGAATTTATCGCGTATATTTATTGTTTTAAATATTTAAAACACTCTGTTTGTTTTAAATATTTAAAAGGTAAAAAAAAGTTTGAAACATCGTTACCCTGTTAGAATCTAGTTTTCTTAACGTTACGTATGAAGTAATGCGATATGATACACACGTCGTAGGATAACTGGAAAGATCGATTCATTGTGAAAGTCTTAGGTCGATTGCAAAGGATCGGACATTTGGAATGTTTGAATGACACGTCGAAATCTATTGCACTTTGAATAGAACTTTATTTACGGATTTTATAATTATTGAATATAAATTTTTGGTCATAGTAAGTTTTGTTTGGTGTACTCAAAAACTGAAGGTAGCCGTGCTAACTATGATATTGAGACGTCACACATCTCAGTCCCACCCGACAATTGTAAAGCACCCGAAACATCGGGAATTAAAAATAAGTTAAATAGTTAATTAAACGCGATAAAATCCTTAAATAAAGTTTTATTCATGGTTTTGGTGTTCGCGTAAATTTAAGAAGCCTATTGCACTTATTACATTGTATAATCATTTGTGGCCTTGGGGTTTCCAGCCACACAAATAGGTTCCAACTACATCTGGGTCTAGAGCCAAGGTTTAGTGTATTTAATTTATTTGTGGCTAAAACATTCTACGTATATAAGCATTAATACGCGTTTTTGTCGGCAAGTAGCAATCCGTGCTCTGCTGTGTTCTGCTCTGAAGAGTGCGGAGAGCGGAGAGCCAGTCCAAGTGCAGGCTGCGAGGCGTTCCATCTTACTCCTCAGGAGAGAGCACGCAGCTGTAGCCTGCTTGGTATACAGCTGCTGCAGGTGTCCGTGCGCCGCAGCAGTCACGTACAGCGGGACTGTACGTTCGATCGTCACTTCACATTTACAAAGGTATTGACTGTCTCGTTGGCTTAGTACACTGCCCGTCGTGAGATCCTGGGTTTGAATCCCGGATCAAACCATCACTGCATTTTCAGTCAAAAACTTTAAGTAGCAGCCCAGGGAAAGGAAATCGGCGGTGTTTTTCTGATCTATCTCCGGTCGTGTCGGTATACCGTACCTACTACTCGTATTGGACTATGAGTGTGCAGAAATAGAGAGTGCACTTTTGCATGCGCACACACTCGTGCACTACGATTATGTCTTACGCAAATGGCTAGTCTCAACTGTGCCTGACCGCCGCGACCGAAAGTCGGTTGCCAGAACATTATTTTTTTTTAAAGTTTATATATAACATAGAAAAATGCATAGATATCAAATATTAACGCTCGGATGGTTAGAAAAATTTGTTTTATGTTCCAAATATCAGATTCATTGCATACGTCCTAGGTTTTCGCAAAACTTTGATTCGTCGATTATCGTATGACATATAGAATAGAATCTATAATTTTTTTGTTTTCTTACCGTCAAACGCCGATCAATATTAGTGAAATCGAACACAATCAGGATTCACAAATATTTAAATTTCTAATACGGAAGCGACGAGTGTTATGTAATATACGCAAGTCTTGCTGAGAGTATTGCGTAGGTGAAGCGTTCCGGCTTTCGCGAGTAAGGTTGCCAGCTCCAATAATATAAAAACCGGACACAGATTCATATTTAACCGGAGACTTGGCTTTAAAAGCCTGACAAAGTAATCTTAAAAGAAAAAAACTATTTTAATACTTTTATTTGTGTATTTATTACTGTTATACATTTGAGACTTTGTAGTGTTATGCTACTTACATATCATTTTACACTATTTTAAATTTATTTTTCCATTCTGTTTTTGATTTTCTGCATTCACCTCAAAACTGGATATTTTGCATCACCTTTATTTCCATAGGATCCTGTAACGTTTTTAAACCATAAGAACACAATAACAAATCATTTTCACTTCGTATTTTCACGCTATCAGCACTTTTTAAATCGGTGTCAATGGAGTCTACCTTTTTCGATCTTTTATTTAGTTCTCCGTAACTCTGCAATTTCGGGCTTCGTGCGCGCTGTTGCGCTACCTTTTTCCCTGTATCAATAATATCTCATTTTTCACTTAAATCTTGCCGTTTCCCTATTACGAGCCTGAAACCAAAATTTGACATGTTTTGACATCGTTGTTTATCTGGTTGTCATGGCAATTTTTATTCAAATTCGTTACCGGTCTGATGTTTTTACTTCAAAACGTCCACAAAAATACTCTTTTTTTCTTGGCCATTTACAAAAATTTGCTTTTAATTTAAATAATTTCCCGTTCTTATCCCAGATCCGTCAAAAAGTATAAAAGCCGAACAATCGGCCAATAAAGGCAGTCTCGCTTCAGCTTTCAAACTAGAAGCATCTCCTAAAGGCCTTATCCTGGGGCCGCACTGCCCCGGGATCCTGCAAGCCTCTGCCTTCACCTGAAGTCGTCGCCTAGCCACGCCTACGCCTCCACCTACTAGTGCCCGCGCTATCTTTAGCCGCTGTGCGTGCTTGCTTCAAGCGCTGCGTGTGCCTACTCCGGGCGCTGCGTGTGCCTACTCCGGGCGCTGTGTGTGCCTATTCCGGGCACTGTGTGTGCCTACTTCAAGCGATGCGTGTACCTACTCCAGACGCTTCGTGTGCCTACTCCGGGCGCTGTGTGTGCCTAGTCCGAGCGCTGTGTGTGCCTACTTCAAGCACTGCGTGTGCCTAGATCAGGCGCTGCGCACCTACCACAGGCATAGTATGTGCATACTCCGTGAGCCGTGAGCACCACTGCCAAGCGCGGTGTGCCACCTTGGTCTTTGGGCTCCGTTTCAGGACTCATTTATCTTTGTTATTTTAAAAAAAATTGTAATTCACGTCACCCATCATCATCTTCATAATTTTTTTATAAAACTGTAAATATCTTTTAAAATTTTATATAAATTATTCGTTTTTGTTCTATTATTGTTGTTTCGTTGTTGTTAGGTTAGGTTCTTTAGTTTTTTAATTGTCGCTTTACGACAACTTACTCTACTTTGAATTATATTATGTTATTATGAATCACATTTTAATATTATTGAATTTTGTGTAACTTATTTACTTTAAAAACAATAAAAACAATCAAAATATAAACCCTTATCATTTGTAAATACCAAAATAAAACTCAACAAAAGCCGGAAAAGCCGGACTTGTATATATTTGACCGGACACGATTGTAAAAAGCCGGACATGTCCGGCTGAAGCCTAAAACCTGACAACCCTATCCACGAGCCGCAGCGGTGCTCTCGTGCGGCGGCGCTGCCTGGCGGTGCAGACGGCGTCGTGCTTTACGTCCAGCTGTGGGGCTGTGGGGCACGTTCGTTGCATAACTGTGCGCACATATTAGATGATGCCATGAACAAATGTTGCAATAATCTTCATATCTTTTTAGATTTCAAAAGTCAAAAAATGTTGCGGTTATTTAATTACAGGTCTATTAGCTTAACTACATACGACTCAAATTTGATGTTTATTTTTATAGAATGCGAGTGACAAACGAGCAAGCAGCCACCCGCTGGTAAGTGGATGTTGTAGCTCATAGACATCTGCATCTATCCTCGACTAAGATACAAAATGCAGATGCATTGTCATCATGAGAACTTACGAATATTGCGATTTAGGTTCAATGTTGCCACTTTTCCGCCATTGTGATTATCCCACATTAACGGGAGAAAACCTACGTTTTAACTCTCATACAAAATAAATAATTATTCTTATTTTAGTTTATTCAAGAATGATCTATCAAATATATTTTATTGCCCATTTTATATTAATAATTTTATACTAATTATAATTTTATATTAATTATATTAAGCTATTGCATAGCTTCTATCGCGGGCCTTGAGTGCGGGAAAATCCAGAAATTTCGTAACGAAAAAAACCTCACGCTCTCCGACGGGCACGGAGGTGTGGCTTGAAGGCCGTGCATTGTCTAACGATGGTCTAACGTTGTTTCTTTTCCTCAGTCTTCGACACGGTGTTTATGTATAAAGTGTTTTGAAATTTTGAATATGAATGAACAAAGTGCATTTATTATTAAGGCTGCTCTCTCGCAAAAAGCTTGAAAAAAGCGTGCAGATGAACTAACTTTTCGTCGACACTTACAGAGAAATTACATATGAAAAAAATAGCTAGTAATCTACACGATCTGATACGTAATTTGGTTTAGCCATAATTTTTCTATCGGTGTCACATAATAAATAAAAAAATACCCAAATCACCTCCAAATCGTTGAGATGAAACCACTTTACTCCTTCATTGTTTATCAAAGGAATATAAAACAATATCTACTGCTTTGCAATACAAAATAAAATAATTTGGTTTGGTTACTTTTAAGAAATATGTATTATTTTTATGATAATAAATTAAAAATGCGTCTCGATTAAATACTGCGTCTATATCACCCCCGCATTCGTCCACGAATTCAGTGCGGGGCGCATCGTGTTGCTAGGTGGACGTACGCCGCGTTGCGAGAGCTCAGCACTACGAAATAAAATCGTAAAATATTACTGCAAAAATTTAATTTTGTTAATAGTGGAGTAGGTTTTTATATATTTTTATAGAGTAAGGGTGACAAATAAGCATACAGTCCATTAACTTGTAAGTGGATGCTGTCGCCCATAGATATCTACATCAGTTATCGATTAAAAATCAAAATGTAGACGCGTAGTCACCTTCGAGGACTAAGATGGAAATGTCTAATTTCTAATACCAAACAGTTTCGTTTCTCTTCTTAAGCATATCATGTTCTGTTGTTCTGCTGCTCCTCGTCGGTCCGAGTATTTTAATTCTTATGTAAACTAAATAGGTGTAAACAAGATGGGCATTGGCTTTATGCCATCTATCGGAAGTCATAAAAGTTTTCTGTCGTTGACTGTTATCGTCTTTTACGACACCCATGGGATCCAAAGGGGTGATGGCTCATGGTTCTATTACACCGCCACCACGTGGCTCAACATTAGTTAAATAGAAATCAGCAAACATTCTTAATTTAGAAGATTACAAGATATATTTAATTTTATTTCATTATGTGACAAACAATTTTTTTCGTTATAAGAGTTACTCCATTTATGGCACATGTCGCGTAACTATGTTTATAATTAAAACAGGGTCTTTATGCGTTAGACGGCGCATGTTAGCATTATATCTCTCGGTCGTTCGGTTTTATTTTTTCCCGTTCATTTATTTTCCAACAAATATTGCCTTACTTTCATTTCATCTGTTTATGTCAGCTTTATTGAGATGATAATATGTTACAATAAAACTATCAATTTTTTACCCCAATTGAAAATGCCGTCGCGAATCCAAACTAATTAGTGCTACATTAGCTTAATTTTTTTACGTCCATTTATGTGAACATTCTGCATTTATTTTAAAAGGAAAACAAAGTCATGTATCCACGTCAGAGTTATTTATTGAAGGAGGAAGCATGATATTTGCATAACTTATAACTAAACACATTGGGATGAGTTTAATATTCAGTGAATATGAGATATACATATTTTCGTATACAAAATATTATATATATTGGATTAAAACAATCTTTAGATTTTTCGGATGCTAACAAGGAAAAATACGTTTATGTAGTATGAGAAATATATTATTATTCTTCAGCCTCAATAATTAATTGGTTTTCAGTTGAAAACGGACCTAATCTTTATAATCGATTTTTTTTTAAATTGCTTTGCTTGTCAGACGGACTTGCAGGGATATAATTGCAGTTCACCGTCTTACACATTTGACAAATCTGAAATTATTATAACGTTATCTTTCGTCATGAATGTTCCGAAATCTGTTTAAATGAATTCAATCACTTAGAATATTTATCACATTGTTGTACTTTTTTAATTACGCCCGAACACAATTGACATATTTTTTTTATATCGAAACCATTGTAGAAGGTAGGTTCATCTTTCTTTACGGATTCCTTCAGTGGCCTGAAATGCCAAAGTTGCCGAAACAACAGCGTTACTGCCTCTTTCAGGGCTACAACCGATAAAAGGTTTTTGAATATGAATGAACAAAGTGCATTTATTGTTTATTTATTTAATAAAAGAAAAGAATTTGTTTTCTTATCGGTCACCACGCTCAAAAAGTGTAACTTGAATTAATATCAAAGAAAAAGAAATACTGCATAAATAAAATAAAATAAATAATTATAATTGCATAAGTTGATACAAAATGCTATGCAATAGCTTTACCGCGGCAGTCCCCGAGTGCCACACGTCTTTTTTTATTACCTATTTTATATTGTTTGATTTATTAGTACAATAAAAATATGTTTTATTTCATCATTATGCTTACTTCTATTCATCTTATAAGCTTTGTATCCTTTTTTTTTCTAAGAGGACGCAATAAAGATTTAAAAGAACATACATACGTTTTTAAATTAAAAACGATTAACTGCAGCTTTAAAAATAAAATCATTTTCATTGCGTACTTTGGGTAAAAATTCATATAGTTAAGCCACACCAACCCGCCATTGCATGTTTGTGTGTCTATCTTTATCTAAGTAATCTTAGCGACGGTAATGTTACGAGTATCACGTCGTCGCGGTTGGATAGTGGTTACACTTTTTTCGACGCACGGTAATGTGGTTTGTTCCTTTAGTTTTGTATAACTCAATAAAAATCACCAGTCACATAAACTCTGATTAAATGCTTTAGTAGTCTTTAAAACCAAACATGACGTGACACAGACGATCCGTAACGACCGGAGCTCAAATAAACCTTCTTTTCAAAAAAGATAATAACTACTTGTTTAGAGTTCGAGCTAGGTGTATGGAAGCTAGTTTTGCTGTTCAACAAAATAAATTTAAAAAAGCTTTCCGCTGGCGAGCACAGGCTTTGAGATGCGATTTAAAAGAGTTATAGAGCTCCGACATCTTGTGAGCCGCGGCTTTAGATTGCTCTCTCTGTTTACGACAAGCATTCGGTGTTGCGATGGTTGAAGAACGCGCATACGTGACCTGATTACCACTAAACCGGTTTGAGCGCATCTAACGACACCGTTCAATGAAACCGTTAATTTTTAAATGCTAATTTACCACGTGTTAGGCGATAGAGGAAAACAATGTTGAGAATTTAAAGTTGTTTTTTAAAAGTTTTCTCGACGCTAGGATTTTCTCCTGTGTCGTGGGGGTAATTTACATATTATATAAATTTCACAAGGATAAACATCCAGACCCGGAACAATTATTTGTAGGCTATACGTTCTGTGCGGGAATTTGAACCAGCAGCCCCTAGTGGTGCAACTCATTGCTAAGCCACTGCGGCATGGCGTCGTCAAATATATAGAATGTATAGAAGTTTTTATGTATGTGTATTGTGTAGGAAGTAAGTAGGAATAATATAAGGAATTAATTTACAATCACAAAATACACGGATCACAGGTAATCAACTATAAATTGTACTGAGACTGTACGTAATTTAATAGCTGATAATAATAATTAATTCGTTTCCACGAATTCATTATCCGAATAGTCGAGGATGAGCTAGTAGCGGGATACAACAAGTGAACCGTGCCACGCCAGAGCCATGACTGCCTTAATGGCGGCCGCTCCGTCCGTTTTATATGTACATTCGAGACAAGTAGCTACCCGAGCGCCACTGCAGGTGTAATGCGCAGGTGTGCGGTGCACGTGTTTACATTAATTCCGACCAGCCATAGTGTATATATTCTTTGCCACCGAGGCGCTGCTGCACGTGATATTCTTTGCCACCGAGGCGCTGCTGCACCTGATATTCTTTGCCACCGAGGCGCTGCTGCACGTGATATTCTTTGCCACCGAGGCGCTGCTGCACGTGATATTCTTTGCCACCGAGGCGCTGCTGCACCTGATATTCTTTGCCACCGAGGCGCTGCTGCAGCCTGATATTCTTTGCCACCGAGGCGCTGCTGCACGTGATATTCTTTGCCACCGAGGCGCTGCTGCACCTGATATTCTTTGCCACCGAGGCGCTGCTGCACCTGATATTCTTTGCCACCGAGGCGCTGCTGCACGTGATATTCTTTGCCACCGAGGCGCTGCTGCACCTGATATTCTTTGCCACCGAGGCGCTGCTGCACGTGATATTCTTTGCCACCGAGGCGCTGCTGCACGTGATATTCTTTGCCACCGAGGCGCTGCTGCACGTGATATTCTTTGCCACCGAGGCGCTGCTGCACCTGATATTCTTTGCCACCGAGGCGCTGCTGCACGTGATATTCTTTGCCACCGAGGCGCTGCTGCACGTGATATTCTTTGCCACCGAGGCGCTGCTGCACGTGATATTCTTTGCCACCGAGGCGCTGCTGCACGTGATATTCTTTGCCACCGAGGCGTGCGCGTGTCTTCGGGCGCTGCTGCACGTGATATTCTTTGCCACCGAGGCGCTGCTGCACCTGATATTCTTTGCCACCGAGGCGCTGCTGCACCTGATATTCTTTGCCACCGAGGCGCTGCTGCACACCTGATATTCTTTGCCACCGAGGCGCTGCTGCACGTGATATTCTTTGCCACCGAGGCGCTGCTGCACCCGATATTCTTTGCCACCGAGGCGCTGCTGCACTGATATTCTTTGCCACCGAGGGCGCTGCTGCGCCGATATTCTTTGCCACCGAGGCGCTGCTGCACCTGATATTCTTTGCCACCGAGGCGCTGCTGCACCTGATATTCTTTGCCACCGAGGCGCTGCTGCACGTGATATTCTTTGCCACCGAGGCGCTGCTGCACCTGATATTCTTTGCCACCGAGGCGCTGCTGCACCTGATATTCTTTGCCACCGAGGCGCTGCTGCACCTGATATTCTTTGCCACCGAGGCGCTGCTGCACCTGATATTCTTTGCCACCGAGGCGCTGCTGCACCTGATATTCTTTGCCACCGAGGCGCTGCTGCACCTGATATTCTTTGCCACCGAGGCGCTGCTGCATATATTCTTTGCCACCGAGGCGCTGCTGCACGTGATATTCTTTGCCACCGAGGCGCTGCTGCACGTGATATTCTTTGCCACCGAGGCGCTGCTGCACGTGATATTCTTTGCCACCGAGGCGCTGCTGCACCGGCTGCTATTCTTTGCCACCGAGGCGCTGCTGCACGTGATATTCTTTGCCACCGAGGCGCTGCTGCACGTGATATTCTTTGCCACCGAGGCGCTGCTGCACCTGATATTCTTTGCCACCGAGGCGCTGCTGCGCCTGATATTCTTTGCCACCGAGGCGCTGCTGCACGTGATATTCTTGCACCGAGGCGTGGCACGTGATATTCTTTGCCACCGAGGCGCTGCTGCACGAGATATTCTTTGCCACCGAGGCGCTGCTGCACGTGATATTCTTTGCCACTGAGGCGCTGCTGCACCTGATATTCTTTGCCACCGAGGCGCTGCTGCACCTGATATTCTTTGCCACCGAGGCGCTGCTGCACCTGATATTCTTTGCCACCGAGGCGCTGCTGCACCTGATATTCTTTGCCACCGAGGCGCTGCTGCACCTGATATTCTTTGCCACCGAGGCGCTGCTGCACGTGATATTCTTTGCCACCGAGGCGCTGCTGCACGTGATATTCTTTGCCACCGAGGCGCTGCTGCACGTGCAATGGCGCAGGTACCGACATATGTATATTTTCATGTGGTAGAGCCATGCTACAGCTATATTATGGTTGCAGCACGAATGGGTCGGCTCGACCGGGGGAGGACCACGCTCTCACAGCTTACCATTGTAAAATAGGAGCTCAATGCTGCTGCTTCGTATAGAAAGTGTAGAGAAACGGAGACAGCTTTTACTGGAAACGAGACCTTAAAGATTTTAGTCCTCAGGAGTGCCAACGCATCTACATTTTGATTCATAATCGAGGAAAGATGGTATATGTTTATGGGTCGCAGTATCCACTCACCATCACATGGACTGTGTGCTCGTTTGCTACCCTTATTCTATAAAAAATGTAATGTATTGAGTTGAATGTATAGAAATAAAAATATATAAAACAGAAATAATTTAGAATCTGCCAAAAACTTTGCCTTGGAACGGCGCGGCATTTTTAAACACTCATAAAAATGAGACATGTCAAGACACTAACGCATCGTTCTGACGATTTCTTGATACAAATGTTTTTTTGTAGCTGTGCTGGAAATTTACCATTTACGGACAGATGGAGCAACAACTGGAGTTGCCTAGGCTGTATTTTATCCGAAACACTGTGGAGCTTAAAAAGAAAACGAAAAATTGATAAAACAAATAGTCTTTATTTATCTTAAATCCTAACCAGGCTAAGCGAGAGCAGGTTGCTAGTAGGTAATATAAGACCGAATAATCAACACGTTTTTTGTAAATAGAGTTTAAATTTGTAAACAGCCAGGTAAAAGTCAATATTAAATCTATTGCGAGTTCTCTGAGAACATGTTTATCGTACATGCGTAACAGAGCACGTTTCAGTGTACCACAGAATGAAAATAGAAAATCAAAAACAAACAATGAATTATGTGACATGATTAATAAACAAAACAAGCTCGTTAATCCTTCCGAAAAGTATAAGGTCAACGATCAAGCTTCGCTCCTTACTGCAGCGAGCTGTTTACGGATGGAGACGGACGGATGGACGATGCTGAGAAAGTGGCGTAAGGTAGATGCGGGTGGATAGAATCATGGATAAAGGTTCGAGTACGGTAGTGGAGCAAGGCTGCAGCTATATTATAGATGTAGCACAAATGAGTAACCTCGACCGGAGTAGGACTACGATCTCACAAAATAATTGCGTAAAATAGCAGCTGTTATGTTCTCTATGGTAAGTGTAGAGAACCGAGAACCTCATTTTACTGAAAACGAGGCATTCCATCTCAGTTTTGAGGGGTGAAAACACATCTGCATTTTGATACTTAATTGAGAATAAAATGTAGATGTGTATGGGCCACGGCATCAACTTACAATAAGGGCTGGTACTCTTTAGCTATTCTTATTCTATTAAAAAGGCAACTAACAGCCTCACGTGCATTCCACGTACTTTGCCGACAACTGCGCGACTTGGCAACTTGGCCGCGTTCCACCGCTTGTAAAATGTCGCCGCCTCACCAACTCGTACTTCAGCGTCAGTGTCTAATAATATACATATTAATACCAACGATATTACAATCTGTTGCGTCACACATTTCACGAGAGATTATTTATAGCCTTAATGTTAAACTGTGCCATAATACATAGGGTTACCATCTGCTCAGATAAAAGTTAGGACCGGCCTCCGGCCGGATTTCAATACAGATCGGATTTACTCCACGCTGGCTATACTGGTAAGTATACAAGTCAGTACAAATGAGAAAGTGAATACGACTTTAAACACATTCCTGTGAAGAACTTAACGATAAAATTTTTGAAGGAACCAAGTTTTTGAGAGCTGTCGCTAGTGGCCAAGAATATCAGTCGAAATAAATGTATATTTGACTAGGAAATAAACCTATTGAGTCTTTTTGTCGGTATCACGACAGAACACCGGACTATTTTTGCCGATATCACGACAGAACACCGGACTATTTTTGCCGATATCACGACAGAACACCGTACTATTTTTGCCGATATCACGACAGAACATCGGATTATTTTTGCCGATATCACGACAGAACACCGCACTATTTTTGCCGATATCACGACAGAACACCGGACTATTTTTGCCGATATCACGACAGAACACCGCACTATTTTTGTCGATATCACGACGGAACACCGGACTATTTTTGCTGATATCACGACAGAACACCGGACTATTTTTGCCGATATCACGACAGAACACCGTACTATTTTTACCGATATCACGACAGAATACCGGATTATTTTTGCCGATATCACGACAGAACACCGGACTATTTTTTCCGATATCACGACAGAACACCCTACTATTTTTCCAAAAATTAGGATTTTTAACAACTTGCCACCAGATCTTTAATTCCGGGCACTGGTAACCCTAATCATACATGACATTACAGTAAGCTCCGATCTAGATGATGTAGTAGTAATAGTAATTCAAAGTAATTCCTAGTATCTTAGGGTTCATGCTAGTAATTTATACATAATTATCATCATCAGTCATCCAGTTATCCAGATGGGTAGGCAGAGCACACTTCTCTCGCCTCCTCCATATCCATATACATACGCATACATGCTCGTCAGTTAAGGGTACTCTTAATTTGACCCATTTTTAATATATTGCCAATTTGGTCAATAATCTTCGCCTAGGACGTCTCTTTCCGACTCTGCAGTTCACTTCTGCAACATGAATTTGTTTTGTCACACTTGACCAAGCCACCGAAGCATGCCTTTCTTAATCCTGGTCACAACATCATCTTGCGAAGCACACCCTTCTCTTATCACACAATTTCTCACCCTGTCACTTAGATTCAACCCTAACATACTCCTTAACGATCGCATTTCTACTATGTTTATTCTACTCTCATGCTTCTTCTGCCACCCCTAATTTTCACTACCATACGCTAATGTAGGGAGTAACACAACATTGTGAATTGCCATACGTGCCCTTTTTGACGCATTCTGACTTTCCGCAGTAGAGTGTAGAGCCTCATTTACTTTATTTCTTGCGTTCACTCGTCGTTCTATACCCTTATCATATCTCCCATCCCTGCTCAATTCACATCCTCATCTACTTGCTCGACCAACTCCCCTTCTATTCTTATTTCACATATCGTTTTACTTTCTTCTCTTTCAAAAACCATAAATTTCGTCTAACTAGCGTATACTTTCATTCTCTTTTTTTAATGACCTGTTCGTTAACGTAACCATCATTTGCAACAGCATCGTGACGATGTCAGGACTTGTCCTAACTAAATGTGAGGACTTTTAGGAACTTGTTAGGACTGTGGCCACATTTTGGCAATGTCAGGCTTTCTCGATAATTCAATAAATACAGATGGTTTTGTGCGTGAGACGGATGGAATCTGCGACGTGGATTGATCGAGAGAGTGCAATAATTGATTTGATTTTTTTCTTCACGCTTGTTAATGACGTTTGTATGCAGATCAGGTTAATTGTCAGGATTTTTAAATTCCTATTCATAGTTCAAAAACGTTTTTAAACAAAATTTGTATAAAAAGGTTTATATAATATTAAGCAATTTATGGAGGATAATAACCCCTGGGAAGAGTGATCTCTACCAAGCTATTTCAAATTTGTTTTTTGTTGTTAATTGTGTAACATATATAATTGTAAACTGTTCTTTTTTTTTAATGTCCAGCTGGGCTTTTTGCTGGATCTTTTCAGGACATAGGTATTTTTCGAACTGGCGATAAACAATTAAACATAAGAATGACTTTCAATAAATCTATTTATAATTAATATTGAATATAAAAAAGTTTATATTTGTGTTTCTCATGTAATCCTACCTTCACCAGTCTGGGCACACAAATAGGTATCTGTGGGAGACCATCTGGTATCTACAAGATAACTACGGGATGATTGGTGGTGATGTATTCTCTTGGATTTTTGTAGAACGTTAGCTAGCAATGAAACTTTTATCGACTTGACGCGAACTATCGCGCGCTGATACGGATTTATATTCTATATACTGTGACCATCCTGAACAAGCGACTCACGCGCCGCGTTCATAATAAAGCCTCATTATTCCTTAGGTTTATTTTTCATAATTTTTGGAAATATTATAGATGTAATGAAAAACTAGGTCCTTACGTTTTTATTTTAAGGAAATATTGCGTACGATATAAGTAATTAGCATCTAAATATCTATATTTTTGACTTAAAACTTCCTCGTGCGTTTTTATTTTTTATTTAAACTAAACTGAATTACTAAAAAAGAAGAGCATATAGATCTAAATTAAGGTATACTGAATCTAATGAGACCAAAATTTTCTAATTTAGTTAAGGTTTTATGGGCAATATCCCTGTATCAGCGATCTTAACCAATCTCACATACAAATAAATAATTTTATGGCGGTATTAAATTGCTCTCAAATAAACTCCTTAAGAAACGTCAAAGGCCGTATTTTGGATCTTTTTTTCACTAATAAAACGGACTGTGAGTTGTCACCGATATCAAATGCATTAGTTCCTGCGGATAAACATCACCCACCTTTTTGTGTATCGGTTGCGTATGATGCAAATCATGGATACATCCGGCTTAAACCATATCTCAACTACTGTTATAGAAACGCGGACTATAATGAAATTATGCAAAAATTAGTGAATATTGATTGGGATGTCTTATTTTTAAATAAAAGTGCTGAGGAAGCAGTTTCATTATTTTATGAAAAAATTTACAGTATTATTAATTTACATGTACCTAAAAAGTATATTAGGGCTTCTTCGTATCCTGCCTGGTTTACTCCTGAATTAATAAATATATTCAAGAAAAAAAATCGAGCTTGGGTTAAAATGAAAAAATATAACAACAATTCAAATTATAATATATTCTCAATATATAGAAAAAAAAGTTTAAAACAGTATCAGAAAAATGCTACAAAACTTACATGGCGAAGGTTGAAAATAGCATAAAATATAACATTAAATACTTTTGGAAGTTCATATCTCAACGCCGTAACATTTCAGAGATCCCAAGTAGTGTACAATATAAAGGTTCTATTGCTCATAGTCCAAAAGAGT